AATAAAAAGACTTTTCACTTCCATCATGCAATCTCTCATAGTACTTCCGCAGACACAGCGGCGATCGCCAACATATCTACAAATAACCTCGCTCTCAGGAGCTGAGGAATAAGTAATCATACATAGTTTATAACTAATCAGACATAGTTGTTGATAATGCTAATGGCTGGTGTAACGTGACGTGTATCTATATAATGACTTGTGCAATGTCACGTGCAGATATGGAACAACAATGACTGGTGTAACCAGGAGTGCGTTCCGTCGTCGCCTCGGGGTGCAACGGGCTCCTCGAGCCTGCCCTGGTTTTCGTACGACTGCTAGATGACATCACAACTGGGGCGTCTCAGGGTAGTTTTACCGCACATGCTAGCAGTGCCGGGCCGATTAGGGAGAAGATAGTGAACGACGAAATTCATAAACTGTGTTTAGGCAATTTTCTCAAGCATAAAATGCATTTCAGGTGTGATTTTAAAATAAATTTTATACGTTTTACAGGAGTTTCGCTTGCATGGCAATGGACCAATATAATCACTTGCCCCGATTACGTTCGTGTAAACTACTTCCTCCTGACGTGCATAGAAGTAGTGGTATAGACTGGTCCAACGTGTCAGGCATGTTTAGAAAATAATGACTGGTGCATGGTGACGTGCATACATGAATGATAATATGTTGTATTGGCGATTTAAATACACATATCCACGAATTTAAAAAAAAACAACGATGTAAATTTAAATCGTAATAAAAAAAACTGTCCCACGTGTTCCTATGTACCAGTAATATATCTACGATTAAAAATGGATTTAACACTTTCCGCACTACACTCCTGGTATCGGTGTGTGAAAGTCGGTGGATTGACCTGGAAAGAGTTGACAGTCTATATTCCAGTTGTGTTATCATAATAGACTAGGGCTCACTCATGCTGCGATATTGAACTGCACGTGAATACAGACGACTATCCAATCATGTATTATGAAACATAATAACATAATAATGTACGTAGTTGAAATATATGACATTGGTAAAATGGAATATAAAGTTACCGTTTACTCGTGAACGTGTGTGACACATAGCAATCACTTGCCTGCTTTTGGGTACGTCACCACAAACACGTCATCTTTTCTTACGTCTACGCTGGCTGGGTTTTCTAGTATCTCTTTACGGACATAGTCGCCGTACAAGATTCCCTTGTAGACGAACTGACCGGGTATTTTATTAAGGAGCGTCGCCAGGATCGGCCATTTTTCGAGTACGGGTGACGGCAACTGTACGGCTAATGTGGTTACTTTTACAACGCCTTAGTGATCTGACCTACAAACCGGAAACTGGACACTTGGACATTGGATCCCGCTTGTAGTTGAAAATTGACCATACTTTATGCTCTCTGACCAGTCAGCTCTGAAACACGTTTTTTTATATGATCCACAGGATTCTTTTTATAGAATCTTTGCATTCTCGGCTTTTGAAAACCACTGACAAATCTGGCGAGCGACGGCGAGCGGTTGTCGAAAATCGCGACTATTGGTGCGATGGTAGGACGCTGAACAGTGCATCGGCTAAGTTTTTGCTGTCAATCCTGCACACTCGCAATGAAACCATGTCACTGTGCAGTCGTTGTCGGCACATGCAATCATGCTTTCTGTTTCTTCAACACCACATATACAAAATGACTGGTGAAAAATAGCCAGTTCATTCCCAACCATGGCCAAGTCTGCCCATTCTTCCGCAGAAAAATATATATCAGAAATTTCGATAGGAACTCTTCTTACGCCCGACGCGATGTTTGTTTCTCCTGTTCTGCACATGCGCAGTTCATGTCGAAGTTTGTCGAAAGACTCCAAACCACGTAATACCCATTTAAAGGCCCATGACTTGCGGCTGGGCTGCAAGATAATCCTTGTTTATTGGGGAGTGGCGATGCATAATGTCTAGTGTTAATTAGTTTCTCGTTATCAGCACCTGGCACAGAGTGTGTTTACAGAACATTGTAATCCTCTGGGTATATTTAAAAACAGATTATTCAACATAGCGAACTGAGATCAATTACATCACGGTTTAGTCACTGTGATTACATTGAAGACGTATAGTTCCGGCACGGTCTTTTTTAGTGACCGTGGTTCCGGGTTATATTCGCCTGTTACAGAAATCGCCCGGAGCAATGAAGTCATAAATTGAGTTTCTGTAATTTTCGAGGTATTTTTTATTTTTAATTAACCGAGCATTTCACGTTTGTGTATTTTGCCACTTAAAAGTTAGTTATCGATGACAGCACAGCAATGGTGTTTATCCATTGCATCGCAATGCTATCAGCACGGTGATCTTTACAGCGAAACGACAAATGTATAATTAGTCAGTTTTATAATGCTTTCGGAGAAAAAAATGCGTGAAAAAAAAAATATTTAACAGTGCTCCACTGGAAGCTGACAGGCTAGAAGTTGTCGACATGTTGCGAGATAAGGGTGAAAAAGTTTACTTATCATTTACAACTGTATGTTTTTTGTATTCCGCTTGCATGCTGGAAGCGTCTACGTCTTGTCTTTTTTTGTAGTTTGCGAGACTAGTTGATAGCGCTTGCGGTAAGTTAAACAGGGTCGCGGACAGGAAGTAACACACCACCGCACCGTAACTGAGGCCAGCAACTCGTTTGCATATAACATCAACTGTGACTTGTCAATCAAAGTACAACGTAAACAAACTTTCGGGACTTTTAATCACATACGCGTGCCTCAATTCCCTATATTTTAAAATCCATTTTTGGGCATGTTCCTCGCATTGACAATGCTCCGAAATTTTAACACTATCTAGCCAAGACTGTCTGGGTAAGAAAAGCAAAAAAAAAAAAAAAAAAAAATCACTCGAGTGCCCACGAACCTGCATCTATACCTTAAATTCACTAAACTAAAATGATCTCACATACACTCGTGAGTAAATTCACAGGTCGAATACTGCCAAATTATAACAATATATTTAATGTAACTGACATTACTAAACTAGAATGATCACAATTCCTAACATGTGGGTTCTTAGTCCCTAAAGTCATAACCTTGACTCATCTACATTACTTATACTTGATCACATGATCACATTACTAATATTACAATTCTATCAAGGGTGCACCTTTACAGCATGGCGTTTCTGTGGCTGACCAAAATAGCCATCACTTGAAATCATCAAACCCCCCTCCCACGGGGTGCAGCAGGGTGAACATTTTTAGATTTTGTTAGGCGGGGAAATGCTTGCTGTAATGGACGTGGTGGACGTACTGTGTGGGTCGATGCGGGCGGATCGTGCGGTGGAGGTGCTGTGCTGTGTTGTTCGTTGGCGAAGCAGATGGAAAGTGCTGTATAGGAGTAGTCTGAAACAGGTAACACTAACACGTAACTCTCTATGTATTATATCGAAATGAATAATTGTAAGCAGCATGAATTAAAATCAAAGCCCGTCATAAAAATCTAGATAAAAACTGAAATCAAAAGCATAATTTCTTACGGGTTGACAATTACGAAAATACAGATCTAAGTCACAAATTGATGAATATCAGGTGCAATACCGTCACGAAATAAAGGTCAAACTCATATATCAAATGCCATATCAATCGAAAGGTTAGGTGTCATCAGTATTCGGAGGTCAATCCCATCACTATGTAAGGTCACATATTAAATGTGACACCGACGCAGACACCAAGCGTCGTCACCATTCAAACTTCAAATCTGTGTCTTTCATCCTTCTTTCGTATATTCTATCAAACTCATCATTTTGAGCAACAGTGAAGTAATTCTCCCAATCACCAACGACTCCTGGAATAAATGAATCATGATAAAAATTAATGGAAGATTTATTGACACTATTCCAATAATCGATTAGAAAACATACCGAGAATGCAACAACAAATCTTGTCACTGAGGTGTTGTAAAATTGAGTAAACAAGTTTTATTTACCTTTTCTAATAAATGGACTTATTTTAGAGTCCAAAAACGCCCTGTTAACATCCACATTAGTTGCACTGTTAGTTTGCATATTCTTAACTGAGGTATGGCGTACTATAGCATCTACGAGTTCCTCAGAAATTGGCCTTTCAACAAAGGCAGCCATCTTACGCACTGCATCATGAGGATCCTGTGTGCAATCAAACATGGTGAAATGTAATAGTGTTAATCGTAAAAGGCAGTAAATAGCACATATTCAATATATATATATAATCTGCAATCAAACAAAC